CATGTACATTGCCTAGAAGTGACAGAAAAGTCAAAGAAAATTGAGCAGAGCTTACTAAGGCATGAGGAAGGTTATGATTTTCTTTACTGTTTCAAGTTGCTTGGATTCTTAAGAATCTTTTTTGATATTTTGGTTAAAATACAAAAAGTCGTGCATGACAATTTCCTTTCTTTTTTGGGACCTTAAATGTTTTCCTTATGATAACTGCTGTGGCTGCCCAGTGACAGGGACAAGAGGCCGGCTGGCTGAGTCTTGCTTCCCTTTTTGTTGAGCACAAACAGGAAGCACATCATTAACTTGTTTCTTTAGAATGAATGAGTTTTAGAAAGCGGAAAATTGGGTTTTTATAAGCAAATACCCTACTTTAGAAATTCAACATAGCATCCTGGTCCCAGTAAAATGGGACAAGATTCTGTTTAACTTCAGTAAAAAGGAGATTTATGGCAGGGAGGCAAGAGTTGAAGACATTGGCCTAAGGTTATTATTTGGCAGGTGGTTTTTAGATCTAGGCAGTGCATTTGATGCTTACAATATCTTATTTTAACATTGAGTGGTACAGAAAGGTCTTCCCTTGTAGCATCACTCAATAGGTTTCTCAACCATTCAAAGGCATTCTATGTATTCAGGCACTTCTATACTAAACTCAGTATCTTGGTGTTCTTTGGTGTCAGCATCTAGAATTCTTTTCAGTTTATAATTATCTAATTAAATATCATGTTGTCTGTCTGCATCTTTCAGATCTATATTGAAAAGTAAATTCAATACAAGTTCTTGTTCCACTCATGCATCTTCCCAGCTTTATTTTACTTTTATCGTTTTCTTTTCAGCACTTCACTTAAATTTCAAGTCACTTGTTTATGATTCTTTCCACAAAAACTTGATAGAGTTTTAAAAACTAAAATATAACACTTTGCTGAAATTCAAATAGGATTGTTATCTTATAATGTGTATTTTTAAGGGTGTATTTGATTTGTAATGTAAGACTCTTCAAAATAATATTAATAATTAATAATCAATTAATTAAAAGTAGCGCTACTTTTTCACTTTTTGCTGCAAAGTTCCAGAAGTAATTCTGAAACTGGAACCTATAGCTTTAGGATAGAGCTAGATGCATTTGGGAGATCTCAATCCACATTGATATTAATTTTCAGTGTCAGACAGAAATTACTGAAGAATTCTGGTCAGTGATCTTACCCTCACTTTTACTGTGAGATAAGCAGGCCACTTCAGAAATGTTGGACTCTGGCCACTTCCCCTATTATTCCCATCCAGCCAAAACCAGCACAGCTCAACAGATGCTTCTGGCCAGGAGCCACGGTGGCCCAGTGCATTTCCAAACAGGAGCAAGATACAAGCAGCTGAGACACAAGACAGCATGTTCCTGCTCACATGCAAGTTTTCTTACTGGTGTAATTCAGTGGGTCTAATTGAGACATGCTGAGCATGAACTTGGGGTTGGCTCAGCCTATGTGCTGGCTTTCAGTACCCAGGAATGAGGGGAGTTCTACATGTGGGATGGCACAGCTTTCTCCTGGCACATTTGAAAATTCACTCCAGTGCAATTGTGAGAAGGCAGGAAAACTTTGAATGCCAGAAGTGATGAGTCCATTAGTGAACAAGGGAATAAGTAGGAAAAGGCAGTGAGGAGTGATGGTCTTTGGGATGAGATCTACTATTTTGCTGTTCTTGTTCAGCGCCTTGTACAATGGGGTTCTGTGTTTTTTTGTGGTTTTTTTTTTGTGTGTGTTTTTTTTTTTTTTTAAATATAAAGCAGCCACAGAAAGAGCTGGAAAGTGGACACCTTCATAGGATACAGGACAGGGTAAGAGTAAAGAAAACAAATTTATGATGATGTCTCCAGTAAGGAGACAGTTGTGTCCTGGAAGGAGAGAAAAAACACACACAAGCTATTTTTGGGTGCCTTTTGGTGAAAACTTCTCCTTCAGACTTGCTATTCTTTAGTAGAGGTTTCTATTTTTGTGTGTTTGTGTTGCTGCTTTGCAGTTATTTGGAAGTGGGAATGTATGTCTGAAGTGTTCCAGTTTTCTTTGTAAAATATAAAACTGATTCAGTGAATGGCTTAATAATGCTTTAATAAAAAAAGTGTGTGACATATATTGAACCTTTTGAGAAATCTAGACTGCGATCTAGCTGTCAGGTTTGTGAATGTCAGTCTGTGCTAGTGGTACTGGAGATGAACTGAGGTGACTTTTAACTGGCCCCTCTTTGAATCCAGAGGATCCTTCAATCAGACTGATCTTGGAGCGTGAGAAGAACAGAGTGGAAACAGCTTAAACTTGCAGTATGTTTTCAGCAGACGGTCCATTTAAAGTATTTGACATTGGAGCTGCTGGGTTTTCTGCTTTTTTTTTTTTTTTTTTTTTTTTGTGTCTATTAATGGCAAAAGTAAGCAAATGTAAAATCAGCTCTTGAATAAAAAGAAATTTAGGATTAAAATAAAAATTGAATGCCTTCCAGTAAATGACTGTAGACAACGTAGGAAGCTGAAGGAAGTTGTGAAGAGTACTCCAAGAGAGGAGAGAACATGCAGATATTCCTGAACCTCAGTAGCAGCCAGTCTTCTGCTCTAGCAAGGCTTCACTGACTGTGAATTCTGGCTATGAATCCATTTGCCCTTCTCTCTTCTCAACCATGTAACTCTCTTTGCAGAGAGTTAATTTTCTGGAATTTACATGGATATACCATTCCTTCTCCTTTTGAGGGAACGCCACTCAGTTGACTACATGAATACATTTGAGGAACAGATTTGTGTATTTTGAAAGGAACTTAATTCTTATATTGCAGCATGACAGCCTATGACTTAAAGTTAATTTAAAACTGCAGAGTAAGTTTTAAAGATATTTAGAATCCAACCACCACCTTTAAAGTATATGTATTCTTTGGATGTAAATCTTTGGTTAAGGAGGGTTGGATTGCTCCTACTGAACCATGTAGAAAGATTAAAAATGGATCTAAAGATTAGATCCATTTGAGCAACTGGCCCAGAGTGCTTTTTTGGCTGTTTATGAATCAGAACTGTGTTCATTTTTCTGTATGTCTGCAGAGGCATCACAACAGTTTATGTTGCCTTCAGGGTGCTGTACCACTGATCCTGGCTGGAGGCAAACCAAGTGGGGATGTGGATAACATAGGGAAGATGTTTTTTGTTTCTTTTATCTATTTTTTTTTTTTCCTTTTGCATTTTCTTCAGTGTCATGGTTGTCAGTCAGAGAGGACAGCTTGTGGGTGCGACTGAATTCTTACTCGCTTATCGCTTGTCACACATAAATGTTACCTACCAGATTGTTTTATTGTATTCTTGATCAATCTGCTCTGATGTTCATTTTGGTTGGGTAGCCAAGTGGTTGTAGTGAAGGCTGTTAGTTTCAGTCCCTTTTAATTTAAATTAGGAATTAAATTATCTTGAATTTTGCCTGGTCATAGGCAGTCCAATACTTTAATAGCATGTTTATGTTGCAAGTTTCCCTCTTCTCCAGTGGTGCAGAAATAAAACAGTTCAAGTGTTGTTGTGAGTTTGCAGAGGTGCCTGCACCCAGTGACGGGGTATTTGGGCTGAGGTGGTTATATAGAGAATTCACATCTCTCCTGAGAATCTGCCTGGGCAGGCACAGAGCAGGGGGACCTGCTGCAAGCAGAGAAGGAGGCATTGCTGTGGCAACTCAACTTCAAGTTGTGCTTTCCTGTGTAAGAGTTATTCTGAAGAGTTTAATCTCAGCTGCACTGCACCAACCCTCTGAAATTAGGACCCTTCTTTTTTGCTCATATAAAACCACTTCTTGCTAATTGGAGTTTACATTCTGTTAAAATGTGTTTCTGCTCCAACAGGCCAGGCCTGCCCAGAACAGCTTCCAGAACTCTCTCTGCGCTTGCTCAAAGCTGGAAGCCCCTTTAATTTGGGAGCTCAGCTAATTCAGGCAGAGGGCTGAAAAGCCAGCTGGGTGCTTGTAACATTCTGCATCTGTAGGTGGTGGAACCAAACAATGACTTTGAGCAACACTTGTGCCTTCTAATTAGGTAGTAAGTCACACCTGTCTCATGCCATGGCTGCCCAGTGGTGACACAGGTGTTACAGATGATGGAGCTGGAACCTACTTATTTTCTGAGGATGACATTTGACTTTTCCTCTTTGGGTGAAAGCGATGTGAAGTGGTGAGCTGTACCGCACATGTTCTGCAGCACTGCACTCCTGATCCAAAGTTCATAGCGCTTCCTGCTCAGGAAAATGTCTGGAATAACAAAAGTATAACCTGTTTTATTAAATGAAGCAGCATTTTCAGCTTATTGAAACATGCAAAGCACTTGCATGCTTTTAAAATAAATTGCCAGAACGTCTGTATTAATTTTATTGAAAGCATTTGTGGGATTGTTCTGACTATCCAGTGTCAGGCTTTTAACAGAGGATATGTGAAACCCAGGGACAGTCGTTAGAGTTTTGCTGTCAGAAGGCTTTCTCACCCTGGACTGTGGTTTCTTCACCACCGCCCCCCCCCCAAATTACACATTAATATAACTTTGAAAGGTATTTCTCTATATTTTTTTCTTATTTTTTAACAGAATGTTTTAATAGAGGAGAAAACGGGTTTTGTACATTTCCCTGCCCCAGAAAGTAAGTTTCCAGCACTGCTTTAGAAATTCAAAGGAAATAACAGCTTTTGAGGTGCAGATGATCCTGTGAACTGTTGTTTTTACTGTCTATTACTTTCAGAGTTTGTCGCTTTTAACTTAAAATCCCTTGAATATTTTTATTTGAAGCTTGAGTGTTTGCTAGAAGCTATGACGTTATTTTCTGGTTCAAACTGAAGTGCAAACACAATTCAAGTCAGGTACCGGGAAGTGGTTTGGAGGAGAAGGGGAGGTAAAGGGTGCTCTGCCATGGTGTGTTCGCTGTCGTTTCTAGAAGGCGTCGGGAGATGCACCTTTCATAATACCCGACAGCTTCCTTTTTTTGACCCTTTCTGAGCCTTCCGCCGTTTTCTTAGGGAACGGATGAAAGACTGAAAGGAAGCCAGGGCGTGACACGGTGCCATTTTACAGAGCAGCCTGTGGCAGGCGCGCTGTTTGCGCCCCGGCAGGTGCGCGGCGCTCGGAAGCCGCGGAGCCCCGTGGCCGCCCGTCCCGCG